AATATATATAATTGTATTTATTTATGTATACATACATCATCATCTTCATCATCATCATCATTTGCTGCTGCTGCCTGCAGAGCCTTTAATGCTTGTGTCTTCTTATTATTTGCCATCTTTCCCTTCTCTGCATGCAAATAAACAATTAAACAAATAAATATTAAATATAAAAAAATAAAAGAAACAAATACAAATAAATCCATGAATTTATGCATACATGCAAAGAAAGGTAAGAAAAAGAGGAAATAAAAAAGAAGAAAAAATACAAAAAAAAGAGGGTAAATTGTCCATATTCTTTTTGTATCCTTAAAGGTATAAATATATTTGCCTCTAAAGAAAGAATAAAATATGGATAAAATAATTCAATTCTTATTGGCTGGGTGAAATGACTGGAGGAGGAAAAAAGAGAAAAAAAAAAAACCTCCAGTCTTAGAAACAGCCATCAGGTGTACATACACCTCATATTATAATATAAGAAAATAATATTTATATATAAATTTATTTATATCTATAGTATTGTTATTTACTTTTCTGTTCTTCTTCTTGGGCATCTAAATCTTCAATACGTCCATCCTGTAACAAGAAAAAGAAAACAAACAATATATATAGTATATATACACATGTATGTATACATATACGAATATATATTATGTATGTATATGCTGCATATTATGTGGTGTATATGTTGAATATACATGCAGAAATGTTGCTTCCTATTGCTAGACATAACTAAAACAATACACAATAATATATATAAATGTACATATATAGAAAATATGCATGCAAATAAGTACAAGAAAAAAAAAAAAAAAAGAAAAAAAGCTCACTCTTACAACTGGTGCGGACATCCCGTCAGTCTCGTCCTCGGATACATCTTCTTCATCACTTTCTTCTTCGCTGTCTTCGCCAAATCCCGCCATATCGTCTTCTCCTTCGCTCTCTGATTCAGGTTCAGGTTCAAAGTATCCAATAACACTAAGTTCGTTCTTTCCTCCTTCAAGAGCAAGTTGAATTCCTTCACGTGCAGAAAGGAAAAGGTCTACACTGCAGGATTCAACTTTATCCTTCTGTAGGACACAAGCCGCGAAACTCTGCGATCCTTGGACTATCTTCAAGTATGTCCTGTTATTATCTACAGGTTTGCTCATGCAAACCTGAGAAATGTGCAAAACTTCACCACCATCCTCGGGTGTCACCTTGACGGCCTGACCGGGTTTCAGGTTCTTAGCTGTATACAACAGAGAAAAAGAACAAGCAGAAGGAATTCATGAACAAAAAATGGAATCCTTTAAAATATAAATAAATAACAATTAAATAAGTCAAAATAAAACATTAATATTCAAAAATGACCATCAAACAAGAGGAAAATGACAAGAAGAAACACGATCACTCTCTAGAGGCCCCACCATCGCCTGGTGTCGAAATCGAAGAAAGTAAACATAAATAAATAAACTCGTCTCCTATTCTCTTATGGATACAAATGTAATAAAAAAGATATTATTTACATTAATAACAAAAAAATCACAAAAACATTGACAAAATATTCAAGAAGGCTAAAAATGACGACTAAAATGATCTTCTTGTACAACATGCAACAGAAGGAGCTGCCTATACACCCGAAACTCACCGAACATCATTTTCGCTTATTCTTCGCCAATTAAATAAAAAAACCCAACAAAGCCAATAAGAAAACAAGAGAATATTTACTTTTATTTTTTCTTGCTCTTCTTCCTGCTCTATTCTTCCTTCAACATGCACCCAATTGGCCCCCACACAGGCGAGAGGTAAAAAAGCCCCATTTCTGTCTGTGGGGCTGTCCTGCCTTCCATCGGGGTGTATGTACACCTCGATCTTCAATGAATATAGCAAAAAAAGAACAATAAAATAAAAATATATTATAATACATGCAAAATCTCCCTAAGATCTAGCGACTGCTGCATATCTGTTTATTCCCTGTCTTCTACCTTCGCCCTTCCATCACCATTTCCTTCTAGTAATTTAGATGATTTCCTCTCTTATCCTTGAGGATCTAGTTACCTTCTAATTGTATTTATAAAATAAATTACTGTGGATATGCCTAAAAGGAATAAAGAGAGCTACTAAGGAGAAGATAGTTAATTCTTCTTAGTAAGAAGGACTATGAAAGTAAGAAAGACGTAGAGATTTACGACGGGGAGAAGAACTCTTTTAATAAATAATACATTAATAAATAATCTCTATATTATATTTATTAAGGAAGATCCTTATATTTGCCTTGGGGCTGCAGCAAAAGGAAGCAGCAAATGTTGCATGCATAGAAAAGAAATGCATGCAAAAGATACGCTTTTAGATCTTTGCTTAATTAATACAGTTGTATTGGCGGTCTTCTTCTGTATCCTTTTAGGGTTTAGGGTTTAGGGTTTAAGGGTTTAGGGTTTAGGGTTTGCTGTCCTTTCCAAGTCCATCAACGCAGTTACTAAACTAGCCCTGCAGCAGCACTGCAACAGCAGCAACAGCAGCA